ATTCTTGCGCTGCTATATCAGTTCAAGGTGTGTTTCTTAGTTTATATTTTATTCTTATTCTATGCCCGGGTCTTTTTACTGCCATAGCTCGCCAATATAGGCGAACTTCTCTTCCCTTTTTGTGATGAACTTGAACAGAAATGTCCCATACGCTCCTGTTCAACTTTGACTATTCACGGGTGTATGGTTTGTGTTGCACACACATCTGAGTCCAGACTGTGCTAAACAAATTATAGTACGAAAATTTTATAGAACAGAGAAAGTTCAATGGTTTGTGTTCGGTAAAACGTCCAAGGTGCCCAGTACACCTCGGTACCCCTTCAAGCCGGTGACTACCGCCACAACCAAGGAGTGTATAAGTACGGTTCATACGCCTTTTCTTGGTTGATTTGGGACCAGGGGTTTTAGCCAACTCCGTTAGGTGAACTGCGACACGGTTCACTAACCCAGTCATAGCCCCAGATGTTGACCCTTAGCGCTCTCACTTTGTTGGAAAATACCTCCACCAGGAGAAGGCAGTGAGTAGGGCTTCCTCATCAGAGGCTGTTTGNGAGGTACTTAGTCCTATAAGAGCATTTCGTGAGGTACAAGGGAAGGCTAACCAGTCACAACCCAAGATACCCACTCCCACCATATTGAGGCTTTTGGAGTGCATGGTTATTGTTATCAGGTGACTGATCTATTCACGAGAAACCATATACACGGGACCATCCTTGGCCATTAGTTCTCGTCGACGTTCTATAAACTAAATTGATCTCATGAACTCAGTAAGCTCCATCCGCGTTGTGTTTTTCGCATTTTTCTCCCATTGTCGTTTGTTTCCTCTGAATAGAGTGTACGAACATCATGTAATGTATCAATTTAAGATTATGACTCAATACAATCATTCGTCATTCACGAAGAAGCGGGGTGAAATAGTAGTTGGTGAAAATGAAGCCTTTTTATTTTTTCATCTTTAATTCCTTCCATTGAATAAATTGAATAATTTCAGGAAGCGGGAAGCAGCCAATCAAAGGGCAACGATGGAGTACATAATAGAGAAAATCAAATGCTTGCTTGATTCGAATGCACGCCCCCCTGGGGTAATAATTTGGTGACGTTACCAACGGACCACCACCGCCCTAATAGCACATAGATGTATTCCCATAATGAAGATATACATATATTTCACACGGGTTGAGAACAAGTATGCCAATGCAAAACAATGGTAATAAACTTGTGATGGGGTACCGAAAGATTAAGTGAAAATGGGGGAACAGAGAACGCGGAGAACGAATGAATGAATGAATGGTTTTTTATAGTTTCATCATACACTTTTTGAAGATTTTTTTGTGTTATGGGGAACGGGGTTTCGCCAAATAAACCGTACAGCAATCGTGCCACTGACATCTATTCTGAGCCATATCTCAGCGTCTCTAGCCATCGGCAATCATCCCTTGGGCCCCCAGTCAGGAAGGTGAGCTGCACCAATGCTGAAGCTAACTTCTTCATTCCTCTACGCCACGTCATTGTCTGACCATGAAGAGATGAGAGTCGTCTGACTCAATATCACCTTTATTCTCCGAGTTCCTATCTTTTTATTACATAGGAAAACATGAATTACAGTATCAAAGATAAAGCTTATATTCTAAAGGTCTACTGTGTTTAAAACACTCAAATCAAGTGTCATTATATATACATGAAGCAATGAAGAATATTCCTGATGTTGTCACTTCTTCAACACCACCTACAACAGCGATCAGCATCCCGAGTTACTTGAAGATTCTGACCCTTTCTAACTGATCATCACAAAGAATAAATGAAGGCACAACCTCATGCCAGTCTTGAACGAGCGTCTTGCATTTGTATCGTGCAAAGCACATACCACACCTGGATACCTAGATCATCGGGTGATTCAAAGTCTGTTGTGTATTGTCACCCTACCAAGCGGTGTCATAGGCATGTTTTAGGTTCATAACTCCAACTTGAGATGAGTTAAACGGCGATAAGGCTTATACCCCTATGATTAGCGTAGTCACTGCGCGCCCCCCTTTCGGAGATGTGGACAATAAACCAATCCTCTCAGCTAGATCAGCGGTGTTACAACATCTCTAAACGATCCCAAAACAGTGGTTTATGGTAGTGTAGTCTATCTGGGTCCATTGATGGCTAGTGGCGGGGGGGGNGGACACCAAATGGCGTAACGGAAATTAGATGATTCAAAGTACGTACTGCTGCGTAATATGCGATGGTCATAACATGGAGTGTACAGCTGTTTCCCATTTTCCGAGCGACAGGAATCTGCCTCCTCGAAAATGCGCCTCACGGAAGAACAACTGGACTAGTTTAGCATTTATTTCTCTTGTTAAGATCAGGATATATCGCCGGATGGCTTTGAGCGAGAGGTCGTGTAGTTTTTGGTAATATTGGACTGCCGCACCTGGGCTCATACACCTGGACAATAAACAAGTTGCTTTTGCCGGAGTTGAAACTGCCTGCCTTGCAGGAATGTCCAAGTATCAAATGAGTGTCTGATACCGTCCAATCTATTGCCGCGGCTTCAGGTCTTAAACTGAAAATTATGCCAACAGCAGTAAAACTAAGAGCCACAGCCTCTGGTTCGTAGAAAGACGTAAATGAAACTTTGCTCATTGCTTTCTGGGTAGATCAATCGCAGGATGAAACTGAAGTCTTGGACGTCGGATCGTTAGAAGTAGCACATCTCCGTATCTGAGGTCTTCGGTGTACCGGCTAAACATGCCTGTCGGCCGGTACTCATTAGAGTGCGTACATTAACTGTCGCTAGGTTGAGTGAGCATCGAAGACGAAGACGAACATCAGTTACTGAAAGAGGATTCTCTGAGACCTTGACGCTGGTTTAGGCAAGACGTGAGGGTAGAGCGGCAAGATATCCAGGTGGAGCACTACTGAAGTGAATATGTTTGTGGGGAGTGGCGATGAAATGGAGGGAATTCGGTGAATCAGAAAGGTGCGGTTGATGTAGAAGGGTTTGTTTGGTTTTTAGAGGCCAACTGTTATTGTGGATTCGTTGATGGAAGAAAGCTCATGGTTGGGTACTTTGTGGGCTGTTGTTCTACCCAGTAGGGCGGTACATAGTAGGTCTTGTTTGAAGGTGCACTGTGACCTTCACGCAACCAAGTACTAACTGTATAGCAGCAGCTTTGTTCCCGAAGATCCAGTGGCCCGTTTGACGGTTCGTTCACCTCTTTTGGAGAACCAGTCGGGTAAATGCATCTCGGTAAAGGGCAGTAGCCATATGGAGTGTCAGGATACATTACAGAGTTGTCCAAAGATAAAAATGTTTTGCACAGATAACCATTCCAAGAGGTAAACCCATCACATCCTCAAGCACTGCTGCTGATTGTCCAAGACCGTGTATTCAGCGAGCATAGGATCACCTTATCCACAGCTAGCCGCGAGATGATCGCGACTTGGGGACGTACTCTGGTATACAAATTTACTTTCTAGGGTACTGTTTTGTGATATTTATTTTTTTATTTCTGCTAGTCTGTTTGATTCTATGTTTGTATTTATCAGCGAATGTTTGATTTTTCTGTCAATGCTTCAGTCTTTTGGACGATCTATGGGGGGCCTTCTAACCTGGCTCCAGACTAACATTTATGAACTGGCAAATGTGATTCAAAATTGTGCTAGTTCAGTTAGTTCTCTCACCGACCAAACGCGACAACAAGAACAACTGGACGTATGTCGTGATCGGTGCTCATGTATAGCCCATATATTCTCTTCCCTCGCTCGCACACTCCGACCGTCCTTGGTAGATCAGCCAACACTCCCGGGGTCTGGTGCATTGGGAGATCTACGGACATTTGACTGTGTACTAGTCATTCTGGAATTGGCTCCTCCTCTGGGTAGCCGTGAACTGGCGGCGATCACGTTTCATTCGTTACACTCATTGGCAGATGATGCATCTCGTGTAAGTCACATTCGTTTTGAACCATTTTCCCCAAATAAGTAAGATAAAACATCATATCCAAGCAATATACCTGGTTCAGTCTTTTTATGGTCCTTACTTTTGGAAAACACACAGGTCAATTATTCGCTTTGTTCTACTCGGATGTGGTTATTCACCAGTTCCCAGTAAATCGAATAAACACTAGAAATCACAGCATAATAATCAACTCAACCTAATTGAACTCCATGTGACCTGAATTTTTCCTCATTAACGGTTTATCAGGTTAATGCTTTTAAGGAGGGGTATTGTACCAACCTGCTCTCTTTCGATGTGCTCTACGTTGTCCGGTTTGTTCTGTATTTTTTGTCTCAGTATGAATGAATAGTGAACGTTCATGCGAGCCGATCGTAAGAATGATTCCACAAAAGAAGCCCATACCAAATACTTCACGTGATAGGTGGCCATCTCAGGTCACTTTACTACTTTATTACGGGTCACTGTATCAGTTTTCTTATGAGCCTGCAACGAAGAAAGAACCCGTAGAAGTGCAATTTTATTGGGTGGGTATAAATCCGTCACCAATCATCCAATCATTTAGTGAAGGCTTTTTTGACTGATGGAATCGATTTGCTTCACTATTTGTTCATTTTGGATTTGACACGGTCATGGACAGTTTGTTTTTGACCCGAGGCCCTCTCACATATATAGTACGACGTAATCTTATTCTCCCATTTTACCGTGTCGATCTGTTCGGCTTCTGATCTTTGCCGTGTTTTCGCTGTCTGCAGTGTTCTTTCGCCTTTATTACCTGGATTCCACTCAGTAGTGGACTTTGTTCTTTGTGCGTTGATGGTTAATCATGCAGGTCAGCAGTCGCAGGTTGAGGAATCGCATGGGTACGATTAAAAACGGAAACCCATCAACCTGAACTATTATGTTGTTCTATTCCCCTATATTCAACTCTTTCTTCGCACTGGTTACGGGGTTACCAAGTTATCTGTTTCAGATGCGGAATTCGGCACCTGATCTGGTGCATGTGTGTGGCGTCAATATCATTTTCCCCGCTAATTCATCTACCCCCCCTCTTTTCTCCATCCATTAGCATCGTTCTTTGACATCCGCTTGCAACACGAACCAAAACCGGTCCGATTCATCGACAATGGAAAATCATACGGGGGATGCACCACGACCTGGTTCGGCTTTGGTCCCCTATTTTCTACGTGTTGTGGTCGCTTTAACTCGCTACTGTCCAAGCAATACTTCAGATTTGGAAAGCACAGATGAATTGCGCGATTTTCGGGATGATGTTCACGACTTGATGCAGGACATACTAAGCCTGGTTGGATCGGAAACGATTTTCCTGGAAGTGAGTGACACGTGATTGATCCGAAACTAAATTACGTAATTCGTTGTGTAGTTATCTCTTCGGTGATAGACTGGGTTTCTTATTGTTTGCACTCGGTTATCCTGTATTGAAAACTACCTGTTTTCTCATATACTGCAGTCTTACAGACGAGGTTTTAAATATGTTCCTTTTTTGTTCCTGCTTGGACTTGTGCAGCGAGTTGATGCCCGGTTTACATGATCATTCTGACCGCAACTATCACACCATAGACGATGAACAACAAGTCCGCGATAGACGCTCATAGTGTTATGTATCCACAAGACGAACAACAATAGGAGTATCATTTGAGGCGTCATCATAATTCCCACAAGCACGCAAGATAATTAATGAAACAGTCTGACGGTAGATGAGCATTTTTTGTAGTCATCATTTTGAACACAGTGATTCACTCTAGGGGGATTTTGTTCATTTTTGACCGTTGTGTGAAACAGCCAATCACATACTTTTGTGCACTCCAACCCTGCTACTTATGTGAGTAGTACCTCACAATACTACACCTTTTCCCGTCAAGCTTTAGCCAAAACCCGCAATCATTTAGCCTCTACCCTCCGTCCTTTAGCCAAAATCCGAAATGCTCTAGCCAAAACCCACATTCCTTTAACCTAAACCCGAAATGCTTTAGCCAAGACCCGCAGTCCTTTAGCCTCGACGCACAACCGCTGTAGGCGAGTCAGAACAAAAACTATCGGAATATTCTGAGGTCAGCGAATGTTGAAAAAATTTATATTTTACAAATTTTCATATTGCAAAGCTTGACTAATGAATGAGGTGTGGCGATCGTATGCTGCGCAGTTGACTGTAGTAACGGTATCGAATGCCGCACCACATTTGGTACATCTCGTATGGCTTCAGTGTTTTCAGTGAACCAGTTTCAATGTGCTAAATAATAAGCGAATTAAAGGATTAAAATCGCTCTCCTGTTTGGATTTACTGATCTCTTCCAATGGATTGAAAAAGGGACTGTATGGTGGGAGAAATCGGACTTAGTGGTTGACATTTAATTGCGCATTCAAAGCTCTCCGACGTACGGGCGCATTGTCAAAGATAACTACTGGGACACCCGGTTTCTCAGTAGCGACTAGAGTAGAGCAGCTTAATAGGAACCTATTGAAAACATGCCAAGTAATCTTTGTATGACATTCATATTTCNGCTATTATGTTCAAGTTGGGTCCTTTGCTGGACAGGAGGCTTCTAATGGCCTTACAGCCACTTTGGATCTTCCATAGCTGCGACAGGACCATATGTTGTAATTGTTCTCGTCAATATACAGTCTCAGGATTGCGTTGCCCGGCATTTGATACCGTTACTACAGTCAACTGCGCAGCATACGATCGCCNCATTAGTCAAGCTTTGCAATATGAAAATTTGTAAAATATAAATTTTTTCAACATTCGCTGACCTTAGAATATTCCGATAGTTTTTGTTCTGACTCGCCTACAGCGGTTGTGCGTCGAGGCTAAAGGACTGCGGGTCTTGGCTAAAGCATTGCAGGTTTAGGCTAAAGGAATGTAGGTCTAGGCTAAAGGATTGCGGGTCGAGGCTAAAGCATTTCGAGTTTTGGCTAAAGCATTGCGGGTTTTGGCTGAAGCTTGATGGGAAAAGGTGTAGTACGGATCCTTTTGTATTTGGTCACGCACTGACAGTGAACTTACATAATTCTCCTAAGTAGGTTTCTAAAAATAGATGCAAATGTGAACTATTGAGTGTTTGATGGTTCAGTGATAGGGTAGAGGGGCTAATATAGCACTCGTTTTTCACATCACTAGGATAATCTGCATTCAAATATGTTACAGTTGGACTCGTTGACAATTTTTATATGTACATATGGATTGGTTGCACTACATTTCTCCCCTGAGACTTATTTTGGTTTGTAGTGCATGCTGCATAATGACCACTCGAAAGGCTTACTCGCGGTTACAGTTACTCGGTTTCAAAGTGAGCGCTTTGTTTCGCCGTTGGTCTGAGACGACCGAAACTGAAACGTCTTTGGAAGCTTTCACACACGTGCTTCGGCCACACCCTCACACTAACGAAAAACCTTTTTCATCTTAGTTGTAATTCTCCTACCTTTAAACACACACGAGATTCCCCTGGTCTTCATCATTGTTAACTGTTCGAGACCCTTTCTGTTCCTCTGTTTTACCGGCCATCGTTTTGCCTTCAGTTGTACACACACGTGCAACGTCTGCAGATGCTTGCCGTATCGACCAACACTCAGGTGACCGCCACCGAGGTCTTGCGGGAATCCGAGGCTTGTCTGTTCATGATTACCACAGTGGCCAAACGCCTCTCCCCGCACGATCCCGAAGGACATATATCTAATCTGATCTCTGGCCTCGTGCTGCCTGGTTTGGCTTCCGATTGTCCATATCCGCTTCAGGAAGTAGGCTGCCTGCTGTACATGGAGTTAGCTCACTGGGCCGCTTGTCATCCGGAATTGCGTCGTCAGATTGTCTCTCAATTGATCAGCATTGTCGAGAAAGCTGCGAATATTGAATTATCTCGGCTTCAGGTATGTCTGTTTGCTTTCTGTGTTTTATTTTCGAATAAGTCCACAATTGGTAAGCCACCCGTGGGTCTACGTTGCTCATGTTTAGTTACGTTGTGCTGTGTTGTGCGTTCACTCAATTTTTCCAAATATTTTTTCATTTACGTAATGCAGTTGTCCTTGACTCACATTGATTACTGCTCTTTCAGCTTGCCTTTTTTCCGCGAATCGCAGCTACTCAGTTTTTAAAATCATTATCAATCGTTTGATGTGTTCTCGTTAATCGCTCATTCTGACGAACACCGTACCTCGTGTGTTCCGATTTACTGTGGTGAGGTTCTGGTTCCTTAGACACATAGTGGATCGCTGTTTCAACGAAGATTATGCTGTGTAACACTGAATGCAGTTTAAAAGATTGTTCTCCCTAATTCTATGAACACATTCTTCCAGTAGCAAGGGAACATTTAAATATGACGTTTAAGACTTGAAGTTCTTAGTTTCCGCAAACTTTTTAAAGACAACCTTCAAGACTTCAAGGTGCTAGTCAATTTTAGTTTTTTTATTACACACAGTAGAAGGTTAAACCCCATTATCACCAGAACCTACGGACCACCCGCAACCGAAGCACTTGGAGTAGTGAGCCACATAAGTCTTCACTAGAATGGGTTTGGAATTGAGCCGGATGACATCACTTCACAAGCCAATTCGCAAGCATTGACGATGTCACCTCAGTTGGTGATGAAATGTTTGAAAACAAATTATCAGACTCCACGGGCAGGAGGTGTCTATGCGTGGATTCGGATCCCATCCGATCGCTCCACAATTCAAACATAAGAACTGTTAATCGTTTTTGCCCCCATTGTAACCTTCGTGTTTGGTGGTATTCCACCATTGAATTCGCATGTACACCGGACATTTTCTCCCGTTGGAGACGCTGATATATTTTCTGTAACCAATTAAAATTTCATGTTTATCGCGATTCTTTCAAACTGTGTTGTGGTTCAGTCAACGTGTGCATCATTCCTATCGTCCAATACCAAGCAGTTCATTCAATCTCATTAAGTACCACGGAATGGCAACCCATAGACAAATTGGATACTCCTGTCACGAGCTTATTTACAATAACTGGAAATCGGGCTCCATTAATGCGGAGTGGTGAAATGCCTGGACTCGAATGAAAAGGTGTGGTATCGCACCAAATAACATCGGGAACAACTTTTAGTACAGTGAGGTGCCAAAAGCGCACCTTCATCGATTTCAGTCCAAGTTACTAATGTCGAGGACTGTCTAGTGTTTTTCTGTCTGTCGAGTTAACTTTGTGATGTATCTTGTGGTGGTTTTTCATAATCCAGGATTACATGCACTCTCATTGTAGCTGACTTATCTGCAAATTCCTCCTTGTCATTTGGGATATGTCAGTGCCTCACACTTTCGTCTCGTTTCTCTTCCTTTACGTCTTTGATCTTAAGCCCGGTCAAAAATTGGCAGTTGGTGCGGCTCTATCGGCCCTTGGAGCTCTGAGTGCAGTCTATAGGGCCACTCCACCAGCACAGCATAACCCGGCAAACAATGAATCGCTTCGTACCGGCCTGTTGGATGATCACTGGCAAGACCTTGTTCAGCGCGTGGCCTATAATTTGCCTCGATTGGCCTGGGTCCCAGTGCATGATGCCACACTGCTTTTCACTGGGATCGGTCGCGGTCTTGTTTCGTCGATCGGTTCGGGCGCTGGCGGTTTTGATTTTGATCCCCGATTAGCCAGGCAACAGTTTCCCTCCAGACTTGCTCAGATATCCAGTGTCAGTTTGGAATGCCTGACCAAGGTAAGACGAGAACTGCCTTTTATGCAGTCCTGTGATGAATTGTCGTCATAAAGAAGATCAACTCATTAATCAGCAAATTATGCTGCCTACTGCATTTAATGGTGACCGCTTTCTGAGGGTAGAATAACCCAAGTGTATGAATACCTCCAGTTGCCCTCACTCGGCGATCAGTAGCAAAGTCTGCGCTTGGTGTGATGCAACCTGTCTTCTAGTAACGAGTACAGTACAAGAATTGGTGACCTAGGTTCTCTGGGTCTTCACATGGTGTCCAACCAAGTTTTCAGCTGTCCATCACTTTGACAGCATCACTTAAAATGGATTGAGTTTGTTGAGCCAGCTTTGATCCAATCGTCGTTCGATTTCTATTGGACCCAAAGATTTCCAGCCAATTTAAGGCATTAATTTACTTTGTTTTTACAAACAATCTGTTTTATTACACATTTTCGTGTGATGAACAGCAGACTGGGAAAGCGCCTTCGTCATGAGAACCTGCTTTTCAGTGAGGAAACCTGGTAACCTAATCACTGGGACTTGGAGTGGCGAACCAGATAAGACCCCGATAGGTTAGGTATGGTATTGGACCGGACGACAGCAAAGCTGCCTACCACCAAAGTTGGGTGAGGGTGGCGGGGCTCGAACCTAGGACCATAGGGTCCAAAGCACGCAGGTGACAGCGACTAAACCACTGCGCCACCACCACTTAAGCCACTGAGCCACCACCACGTTCTCACGTTTTGAGGTCACAAATGCAAAATATAGAATACAGTAACAAATTGAGAGCTTACCAAAAACACTTAGTTTAGCTCATCTATGGTCGATCGAAAATAATATCAAATTCAATGCATCGGAGTGTATTTTACGGTCGTATCCATACCTCCTGGGACATCAAGCAACTTGGGTATGCCACAAATGAGAAGGATGTTGTCATCAATCATGGCGACAAACTGTTCTGTGAACCATTCCAAGGCGTCGCTCGCAGCCACACATCGGTTGGTTACAGCTAGTCTAACAAATTTGAACCTATGCTGTTTCCACGTTTGTTAGTGACCTACATTTGCCTCCACATTGCGTACTCCATTCAAAAGTAGAATCTACGGCTCCAACTTGTTTGTGGAATTTTGGAACACGAAGATGGTCAAGGGACTGCATCCCAAGATCTATGTGGAATGACTGAAATCATTGGGGTTGTACTCCACCCAGTGTCACCGAAGTTGAGGACACTTGATTTCGGTATATCAACTGATGCAGGACCCCCAACCATTCCTGTCATTCACTGCTCACTTTATCGCCCGTCATTCACTTCAGGGGGCATCCGTTCAAGTTACTACCACAAAGATGTCGACTACCATTCCGGTGTTATTCCTTTCCTCTCAGATTGTGTACTGTTTGGAACTCCTTACAAGCTCAAGTTGTTTCAGCACTCAAATTTGTTTGTTTCTAGCAGCGAATGGATGAATCGCAGCCGTCTTAAATTGCGATATTCATAGCAGTACATGAAACAGTGAAAATTTTGACATCGCTCATCTTTCTTTGGTCGGTTAATCGATTCAGTTGTATCGAAAACCCCTACGGGACAAGCAATGCACCCGCTTCTAAGTTTTGCATGAAATAAAACTTCTACTGTGACCAATTTTCATAGGTTCATTGGGCATGTTTTTTCTCCCCCGGAGACGAGTATTCAACAGTAGGTCATACTCCAATCACTCCAGATGTTTTACGAAGCTGTACGATAGTAAAGCATCGGTTCCTGACCGCTTCGTTCGCGATATCTCTGTCCATCTGGTTCCGGGGTTGGTTCCTATGCAGCAGTGATCATAAATGGTCGTTTTTTTCAATTAAATTCCATTTAATACTGTATATGCTTACGCGGTACGGATATCCTGTAATAGAAATTTGTAGTTATCGAATCTGTCTTCCGTTTTCCTGATTTAAAGGCCCAAAGGGAACCTATCTACGGACGCGTCAGATTAAAGATTGTTACTCGTTGTTGCTCATGTCCAGAACACATTGTTTCTGTCTTTTTGGTTCTCTCATGCTTTTGGATATTTTACCCCAATTCTCTGTTCTCTAATTTGTCGTCCTAGCTAATGGATGATCAGGTACCTGTATCCGGTACGGATACATTAAGCGATCCGCGTGTTTGGTTAGACTATCTGGCCGCCGTGTTCCGTACCATGGGTAGTCTTTTGCGTCGCCTTGATGACCCGGCAAAACCTGGTTCGGGTACGGCTGAGATCAACAATCTAACCATGTCTGCTCAGGCATGTTTGTCAGAATCTTTGCGACTGGTGCGAGAAGTCATCTGGCCCGTCGTTGCCCGGGTACTGACGCATTACTCCGTTCGGGCTCGGCTAATGGAGCACGCGTGTCGTCTCATTCGATTTATTGTGCGCTGTTTCTCGGTCCACTTGCGTGATCTCCTCCCGGATATTGCTGAAAAGGTAGGCAATTTCTGTTCTCTCCTTGTCATTCCTATAGACGAGTGGTCAAAACTGACAGTGTTCTGTATATGGCGTATATTTATTTAGAGAAGTTTGATGTTCGTGCGTAAGTTGCCTATTTCTAATTGAAATGAGGTACGTATATCTATCTCTATCTGTCACAGGAAAAATGCAGTGGCTAAATCTGCCACGTTCTGTTCGGTGTAAGCCATCCGAACACCGTACAGTTCGTTTGCTTTCACTAGGAATCCTGTACATTCAAGGACCTTGATTCCGATCCCACTGTGGGATGCGCTGTTTTCACCCGGGTTTTGTGCTATATTACTTCAATCTGCCGGGTTCATGTTGCGAGATTCATCTACGATGTGCTTATCTTCAACATCATAATGTGCACATTTCCTTTTGGGACTAGTCTATGAAACGTGCCGTCTGGTACGTCTTCGCTTTCCGTTTCTGCTGTGATTAAGTTTAGTTGAGGTATTCATTTTTGTATTTTCAAGTAGCTTGCTACTCCGTACATCACTACACCCCGTCTGGTTGCTCTGTGTCATTCCTGTGCAGATTGTGATCTCTTACAATTCCGGCGGGCATCACTCGAGCTTTCTCTATTTGGCCAGTGTACTGGTCGATGAATTCGGTGAATTGACGGACTGCCGTGTTGGCCTCGTTCGGATGTACGAAGTACGTGAACCACTGTCTTGCTATTTGTTGTTCGAATTGCTTTGATCTGATTTCGCTCGTGTACCACAGTGTGCTCGTTCCGTTCTTACGGTTAAATCTTTTTTGTTTGTTTTTAGAAGATGGGTGCGATAGGTTTTTTTTTCGGATAAGTAACCATATGGCAAACAAGTTTGCTTTCAGTGCTTCCCTCTTGCGCAGACTTATTCAGATAACGGAGTGAAGCTGGTATTACTATGAGCCCGATCAGACTTGCCCGCTAGTATCGAAGAGTTTTTTTCTAATTATCGGTCGTATGCTATTATCAGCATAATATTTATGTGGCACTCACTGCTCAATACAAGTACACTCCTCGTTTTTAATTTTGGCAGCCGCGTTGATTTTTCCTTCTCCCCTCCCCGTGTGTAATTTTTAACACAAAGGCCCTCGGTGGACAGACTCTGAAGATGCTCGCTGGTCCGAATCTAGCGGAGCAACCACATACAGTCGAAGATCTTTATCGGTTGTGCACTCGTCTTGTACAACATTGCCCTACGGTGTTCCTGACCAGTGAACAGGTCGACCTACATGAGTTGTGCAGCACAGCCATACGTTCGCTCAGTTTGTGCTGTTCCGGCCCTAGCGCTGGTAATTCGGGTGAGGACGCATCTGGCATGAACTCCTCAGACGCTGACTCAGGTACTAACAGTTCCTCAGCGAACACCAGTGCATCGGCTGCTGCGGCTCGATTCTTCATCGATTTCCTCAATTTCGCCGGTGAAGCCGCCGAAGTCACTCCTTCTCAGATCCTGGAATTGCTCTCTTCTGGTACACCATTGCCCACTCCCAGCTGCCCTTCATCAATGGCTGCGCAACGTGCCCTAGTTTGGCTCACTTGTCCAGCCCAAGTGGAAAATTCTGAGAGGCCCGAGTGTGGAGGTCAGCAACTGGTATCGGCCTCACTACAAGCCTGCTGTTTAGGTTTGTCGGAGGATCGATTCCCGGAATTGGCAGACATTCTCTATCAGCTCAAAGCCATCACAAAATCCGAGGTACGAAGGCGTTCCGTTCTCCGTAAAATCGTATTGTTGTTACTGTTCGAAGTTCGATTTTTGCAGTAATATTCTATAGCAGTTAACAGGCAACCCCTTGCTCTCAAGGGACCCTTCTTTCAGCCTGAATGACTTGCGATGTGGGTTTTAGGACGAAACATACTTAACGTTTAGTTTTCTCTACTCTAGTTTGTTCAATTTCCAAGCTCCTGACAGCTGCATTTATCCAACCCAGTCAGTGATCAAAACAATACCGAAACTGTAAGGCCTTATATGACAGGTCGATAAAAGCCTTCCCACGGGTGCTTCGGTCTTTACCTCATCCGTCGTCTACCCTTCGCTACCTTTGAGTCAGCTAAAGCACAAAAACACCTACCTCCCTGAATCTTTTCTGCTACAGACGTTGATAAGCTAAATTTCAACTACTTACACATAGTGAGTAGTTGCTTGATTTTGATAAAAGACGAAAGTTGGGTCCAAACCAGAATAACAATTTTCGCGGTAAAGCCCAATAGATTCCCCTCATTGATGTTGCGAGCTGTTGGAGACGGAACGGTTTCTTTGATGGTTAGTAAATAGTGTAGTCGAACGTCGGTCAAGTCTAGCTCATATGACACCATAAAGGTATTTCTGGTATAAAATAGCGGTTCTTAACAGTACGCGGATAATGGATAGCGAACCATCTCTGAAATAGCGAATCTGTTTTCAGGTAATAATGCACACTGATAAAAATGGATCGGAATGATATTTGCTGCTTTTAATTACCGTTCACATACGGGAGATGACGTTAAGCTTCTTGTGCGATAAGTTGCGTGCATTGCACTGATTGACGAAAGAATTCCCTTACGACTTCTGTGAGCGTCTATAATTATAGAAAGAAATATGCTTTGAAAACTGGTCAAGTCAAGTCAAGTCAAGGAATGGCTTTATACACCCCGAGAGGTGGATATTCAACAACCACATAA